TCTGAAAGGGGACGTGATGAAGTCTTATTGTTAATACTCGGTCCTCGTTCTCTGTTTTTAATTCGGCTAGAAAGGGAAAGCGTCGCTTACACAAGGGATTTCTTAGACAGGTCAATTGCTTACTTCTTTACAATCCTTCCATTGTTTCATACTGACTAACGGAGCAAACGCCTAAAGGGATAGGTGGGTAGAAGGAATTATGGAAATTCTGTCCTGACTGACAGGATGGAGAAAGCTTTGGTATACTGCAGTGCACCATGATGTCCAGATAGCGTGCATTTGGTTCAGGCCTGTGATTGGTTTCTCGGTGCACGGAATTGTAATGAGGGATGGAGAAAATCTGATTTCAGCTTCTTGGTACCTTTTTACCTCTTTCGATGGTGCTTTTGTACGGAAAGGTCTTGCGGATGTATCGAGCTCATAAGATTATGAAAATACTTATTTAATAAGTGGAAGCACATTTCAGTGATAGCTGTTGAGGACAACTGGTTAATGCCCCATAACTCTTGTTTTGAGGTGGATGCATTAGTTTACTTTTGTGATTTAGAAATTGGGAAATGATGCAGAATCTATGCTGATAGTTCTCCTGTTTCTGCTAAGTGCGTGGCGGCAGATGTTTGGCCGTCCTGAGAGGGCTCCGTCGGGGGCCACTTCTCAACAGCCATTTAAAAAAAAAGACTTGCTCGCACGTGGAGAATGTGCACGAAGTGTGCGAGTGCAATGGGCCTTATATAGCCAGGAAGCATCGCTTCCAACCAGACCGTTGGGCCCAGCCAATCGCTCCCCTTTTGATAGACATCTACTTTTGGGATTTCATTCTAGTGATAAAAATCTGGGAGTTGCCAACCGTCACCCAACCTGTTTCGTTCGACCGACCCCTTACGTGTTTCCACGAAGTGAACGAGTATCCACGACCTTTACGAGGGTATATCTAGATCATGCCAGTGAGTCTCTGGTTCCTCTTGGTTGTCTACTTCGTCGCTTGATGTCGCCTGTGTAACGGAAATGATGAAGTGGGTGGTTGACGGTTGAATTCAGTCATGCTGCGAGCGAAGGCAATCAAGACAAGTTGTAAGCACGTATCTGGGCGATTTGGAAATTGTGCAAGCTGGATGGTAATCCCGTAGATGATCACTGTCGAAAGTTGTGAGTATCGACGACACAACTGAGCACATTTGTCGCTCGGAGTCAAAAGAAAAGAAACGGCCAAGTAAGCCATATTGGTCTTGGCTTTCGCGGTCAGCTAATGAGTCCTACATACAGGTAAAGTCTATTCCCGACCAAAATTCCAGGATGTGGAATCGCCCTGAAACCTTCATTGTGTGTAGCTATGAAGTGATGAGTTGAAATTGACGAATGAGTACCATCCTTGTGGGAAAAATGCGCAGGGTTGTCAGATCCTATTGAATGTATGAGTTGCATGCGTGCTTACGGAGAGCTTAATGGAAGTATAAGTTCGATACCACTCAAATTGAAATCCAACTCGGACCCAAAGTTTACGACCATTCGCTTCCTCCTCTGATGAATCGGAGTTGGTATTAGGAATTTTATATGGTTCCTCTTCGTCTCCAAGAAATCTGCCACTTATGACGAACTTTCGTTCTCGTAATTTTTCTTCCGTTTCTTCGTGCAATGCTTCCACTCAGCCGTTGAAACACCACATTTTTTTCATCAAGCCTGCGGCATCCGTCTGGTTTGAAGATCGCATTTCATCAAGTCACTTTCCTCTTGAAAGTGTTCCGAACCGTTTCAATGGGGGTTCGGGATGCAATAATAGAGAGGCAGGGCGAATTGCACAATGGCCAGCTTGTCAACTGCATGCTGTTTCTGAAGAGGAACTCCAGATGATCGAATCACACCCAATGAAAATAGCGTCAGTTGGTGTCGGATGTGGCACTGGGATGTTAGCTTTCTGCAAGCTAAGATTTCAGGTTTCAGAGATGTTTGCGTGGATGGTTTCTCCTGAACATGCCAATGATAGAAGGTATTATCCATAATAATGGCAATTGGCCCCTCTAGGGAAGGAAGCAAGCGATTCTGGAACCAATCCAAGGGCGCATTTCCTTGCTCTGCCAGGAGAGGCAGAAGCACTCAAGTTTTTTTTATAGCAGAGCTCTCCACAGAAGCTCTGCCGCCTCTTCTGACCCCGGACTTGGTAGAGAACGGAGAGTAGCATCGTGACGCTGCCCATGGAGAGCATGCAGGTAAGAACTTATTTCCCAGATCCAGTTGTAGGTTGTAGCTGAGGGATTAGGTACCCTTTTTTATTGCTGACTTGCAAGAAATCAAGCGTTACTGCTTCATTTTTTAATTATCCACAAAAGGAATAACAATGACAGGTTTCTCAAGCATTCATGGTCCCAAGGCCTGTAGGCAAGTATGTGTTAGTCAACTGGATGCGTTTGGCTACCCCTATTTTATCACCTAGCCGGCTTATAGTCATCTGGTAGGGTTTGCCCACCATACTATTTTTGACTTAACGCCGCCGACGGACAAGTCTAGGTCTTGTCCGTTAAGCTCAACATTAAGTTATCTCTGGAAGTCAGGAATTGATTTCTTTTGTTGTCTGTATCATTTCAAAGGCCACTAATTGAATGAAGAACTTCAACCAGCCATGTCAGCAATGCCCACCCAGTTAGCACAAAGGCCTTAGGTGGTGTAGATACTATACTGGTGGATTCGTGGTGGGGAAAGGAATATGGTGAGAAGGAATACCCAATGAGGATTTCGAGAGTCAAGCCTAACCCTCAACATTCCATTTGAGTCTCTAATTGCAAAGATGTAGGACTTTCACCCTCTAGGAATTCATAGGCCACATTCTTGGCAACAGCTACCAGAATCCCAGCTTTGCAGTTATACTTGTGCCATATGCATACATATGACTTACATATCCATTTTTTTCTCTCGGCTCTCCCGTGACTTGTGCGCATGCGCAGTCTTCCGGAGAGCTGCTGCAGAGCAAAGAAATACGCCCCAAGAAAACATTCGCGTCCATATCATCGTGGTAATCGCGCTCGCATCCGTGAGGTTATGCGGTGATACGAGAAGTGCACGGGAAAGTCTTAGTTCCCTCGTTCCTCCAGAGGTGGCGCTCGTCAGGTGCACCAATTCAAGGCCCTAGATCAGTGATGAGCAACCATTTTTGTCTGCGGGCCGCAAGCAAATCTTTTAGGTTCCCGGCGGGCCGCATGTATTTTTTAAATACTGAATTGCAGGCTGTATGCCTGCTGAGTACCAAAATAATCCTAAGCCCGGCTTTGTAAAATAGTAGATGCTCATGATATGCAAATAAATAATTTTGAAAAATTTCTCATCATTTTACTGGGCAAAATACCAAGCAAACCGCTTGCTCCGAGAGCAGTGATACACTGACCAAGAAGTGAGCGAGGGGATATTAGAAACGGAAATATAGCATTTGTTATATTTCTTGCTTCTATATCTCCTGCAACGGACAACGGAATCCTTGAGCGCACGTACGCTCTACTCCGGGTGGCCGATGAGAGGAAAAAAAAACTCAGTTCGCAAAGCCCCGCGGGTTGCTCATCACTGCCCTAGATAAACAAGGTCTGGACAGGTCATCACACAGACGTCATATTGATTCACTTCCCTTCATTCCCTCTCGCTTCCGAAATTGCAATTTTCCTAGTAATTTTTACGGAATACAAAGTATTCGCATTTACCGTGTGCTGAGCCCCTCCCTGAACCTTCTTGCTGCTGCTGGACATGCAGTAGGTTAGGAAAAAAAGTCAGGCCTGCAAATGATACAAAAGCGTGATAATTTAAGTTACGCCTGCTCATTGTGAATTCCTTAGAATTGGCATAGCAAAATGATACCCCACCTGTAGGAAGACTCACCATGAGTTATACATATTGCAAAAGGGGCACAGAAGCAAATACTTGTATTCATCCCCCCCCCCAAAAAAAAAACGAATGCAACACAAGCACAGAACTCATGTACGAGGTATTTCAAAGCAAAATGTTTCAGTGTCTCTTCCCTTGAATCGGAATTACTTCACAGCACTTCTCATTCTGACACTACGGCTTCCGTGACCAGAGAAGGGAGTGGATTTTTTCAAGAGAATTTAGATTCCTGGCATGAGTTTTTAGTCTTACCTATAAAAAAAAAGGACTTCCACACTTCAGATCATGGCAGGGGACATGAAAAAAAAAAATCAGACCCAGTCCATAATTTCTGTGTCCGTTCAACCAGGAAGTCCACCAGAGAAGACTTTTCCTAGACTGGATCTCAGCAAAGTCAGTCAAGTTGAAAAACTGAGCCCTGGATGACTTTGGTGAATTTTTCTTACAGCTCTTCGACCTCGCCAAAGAACTGACATCTGCAGCCTCAGATGAATCGGTAATGTTGTGGGTCTTTGAAGCTGTTAGGTACCTTTTCCCAGCCGATGCTGGATATATCCTGCCAAATGAAACGACCCTATCAGCCTACCAAATTTCATCAGAATCGGCAGCCTACAGATTGACAACTCACCAAAATTGATCATTTTTTCGCCCACCCTGTATATCATGTTAATGGAAAAACGAAAATTACGAATATCAATACATTGATGCTCGAATGTTGAAACTTCACTTCGGCAGGATGAGAACTCTTAAGCTTGATGTTGCCTTGACAAACATGGACAAAAATTCGGCAGTAAGACTGTTAATGTCTTGCTGCCGAATTTTTTTTAAATCTATAGAGGTATTTTTCATCCAAATGAGTCCGTAGATCCTGGAAGGAAAGTTAAAGGTTTCAGAATTAGGGAAGAAATGCAGGTGGAATCCGACTCGTGTTCCATAGGAGTTGAACGCCTGCGCGGAGGGGTTAAACTTGTTTGTAGTGGTTATTTGTGGGTTGTGAATCTCACCCTGCTCGTGATTCGGCTATATTACGGGTCCCGAATTCGATGCGTGTTTTAGAGGGAACAAGGTAGGCATACTGGACTGCATTCCTTTTTCGAAAGAGGGGTGAAAAAGGAATGGGGGAAAAGGGGCAATGAGAATTCAAAGAAAGCAGATATCTGTTTATTGAGAAATGCACGCCCTTCCCGTTTATTCATTCCAATGAGGATGCTTTGGTGCACGAGCCCCAACTATTAGGATTACCGGTGCGGCTTTTTTTCAAGGAATGGGATCGCAGGGAATTCACAGATCGATCCCAAGTTCATCGTCCACGTGGATGCCACTATTGAAAAGCACACTTTCGGACGTGGACGTCGCCGTGGTCAGACCAGCGTGGAAAGACTGGAAGCCCTCTTGAGGTCGAAGGGACGAACGTTGGGGTTGGTCTGGATGGCTCTGGGGCGAGGGGCGGGGGCGGTTCGGATGGGGACGGGGGGAGGTCGGTAGGGGACGGGGATTGTGTAGAGGTCGCTGGATGGGGCAGGGGAGCGTTTCGAGCGATTCTTGAAGCCGCCGTCGGATGAGCTTGCCGTTTCCGAGTCGCTGCCGCGGTGGCCGCCGTCGAAGCCGCGGTTGCTGTACGCGTAAACGGTCGGGTTCGCCTCGTACGACTCTGTGTACCCCTTCTCCTTAGAGGAAAGCGACGGCGAATCGTTCCGCTCTTCGTGTTCCGGATTTCTTTCGCTCCGGCGTCTCCGCTGGTATTCCGAGGCGCTGATGAAATTGAGATCGTCCCCCGTTCTTCGTCCTTCGATGTTCGGTCGTTCCTTCGTCCCGGCTCGGAACGACGTGGAATCCGGTTTTGCCGCCTTGTGCCCTTCGCGTCTTTTCCGGAAGTAAAAGAACAAGAAGACGCCGAGGCCCGCGAGGGCCAGAGGAACCAACGCAGCGAAGAGAATGAGGGCCAACAGATTCTCCTTGGTCAAGTCGATCCTCCCGTCCACCACCTGGTGGTGCAAGTTGGCCCGGTTGGACAACCGCCCTTGATTCGTTCCGTCCGTCGCCCGAATCTGAAAGGAGTAGCTCCCGCTCTCCTCGATGCCGAGGCTTGCGAGCGTGTAGTTGAAGCGGAGGGGATCCCCGTACATGGTGGATCCCAGGTCCAGCTTCACCGTTTCTTCCCGTATCCAGTTTCCCGTCGCGTCCGTCCCATTTAGGACGTAGTCGTCCACTGGAAAAGAGTTCGTTCTTTTGCGTCGTGTCCGTTACCTGTTACCTTTTACCTTTGAATTATTGACTGTTTCCACGGTGTGAAGGATTTCACAAAAAATAGGGTAAAACGTGCTCTTTGAATCGAATCATTGTGTTATGTCAAGACTTGAACGTTGTTGGTTTCTCCTCATCAGCATCGTGGATCGGCATTTGCAAAATAAATGAACGTGATCTTAACCCAGATTACCTAGGCGAAATGGATAAGTAATGAACGCTGATTCCAGTCATTAGTTACGATGAGTATAACTTTTTTTTTCGGAAATTAACATATGCCACTGTGTTCACTGTCCTATTGGACTACACGACGATAGGAACATCTGGGTTTAGAAACCTGATTCAGGAATTCTGAACCATATGGAAGCCAAATATACCGGAACATTTTTGAGCGAAGTTTCACCTCCGATTCAGTTGGTCGCAAGACTCACCGGGGCGATAATTGTAGTCGTTACCCGCGGCGGACCAGGTGAAGACGAGGGTGGCACCATCGCGGGTGACGGTCAAGTCGGTCACCCTGCTCGGTGGGAACATGTCACCGTCGATCCTGTTGAATTTGACGGACAGGACCTTCCCGGTGACCTCTGCGGTGAATGCTCTCACGCTTTCGCACTTCGCGTCTCCTATCGTGCTTCCGCAGCAGTAAGGCACCGGAGAATCTGCGAGCGATCAAACGGGAAGATCGTTTTTTTTTTTGTTCATGGCGACGGAGGCGGATTTGCGCGAATTGAATGCTCACTGGGGTCGGGTTTCATGAGTCCGGTGTCGTAGTCCTTCCTGCTGTCTAAAATCACGTCGACGAACTGCTGGGATCCCCCGATCTTGGCCTTGAATTTGTAGGCGATCCATCGCTGCGTTACCTTCGTGAAATTGACGAAATAGGCCGAGAATATCCCGTCCCCGTGCCGAACGTCCGGATCTGCGGCGAATCAACGGTTTCCTTAAGAAGAGTCTCTTGCGATCTCCACTCGCGGGTACTCCCTTTTACCTCCTCTGCCGTCGTCGAGCATGAAGAGGCTCTCCTTCATTTGGAATCCTCCTTCCTGGGACATGTCTCGGGATTCCACCGTGAGTTCGATCGCCTTAACGTTTGGGTCTTTACAGGAGGCTGGAACGATTCACGGGAGAAGAGTATTCTCGGGATGTTTTCCGGCATCCTGAGAGACGCCCAAGTAAAATGTTAATGTAAGTGCATTTCATTTTAAAAATGGATTCTCCCTGCTTTCACGAATATATATTTTTCTCTCTCTCTTCCATCTGAAATTTTATGCCTGCAATGCACTAATGAAAAATTATCCTCGACAAACACTAGGAAAGTGTTTAATTTCACTGAAACGAAAATACAAAACTTCATTTTGCATTTTCCGGTGATGAACCCTCGAGGTCACGAAGAACTCACAAACGACAGGGCTTTCTCCGTATTTTAGGTAAGCGTAAATGATCAAGGGATCATCCGGGTATAACTTCTCTGCTTCCTGCAAAGAAAAGAAACCCTGTGAATTCCTCATCGATGTGCAGATGTGAATCTGGTTGCAGAAGGAGGAAATAGATCCCCTTCTTTCCTCTGTGAAGCAAAGTTAAATATTCGCTTTACTTCAATGTAGGCTGGTCCGTTATCAATATTAATAGTTAGTATTGATCGGTCTAAAAAGCCCCAACGGTTCTCGAGGTACTCGCCCTTTAAGTTTTGGAAATGAACTAAAAACCTTCTCAAGATGGCAAATTGTATATATTTTGAGTTCCTAGAAATGCTGATGTGTTCTAGAGCTTGAAGAGAAATACGCATTTCTCCCACGGCTTATTAATCGCGAATTTAAAGCGAAATTAAACATTTCAAAACGCGTTTAAAATCTGGATTGAAAACTAGGATGCGTTGGACCTGGTAACTCTCTTTGCGAGTGCCCGAATAATTTTGACTGTTTTTGGAGCGTTTTTTTTGGCGTAATTTTGACTGTTTTTGGAGCGTGTTTTTGCCTCTACGGAGGCGTGTCACACGACAGTCAATATATAAACTCAAAGCTCATTGCAATAAGTTTCATGGCAATTAAATAAATTATTAGGATTTTGAGGCGTTGCAGCTCATGGCGGAACCTTTCCCCGAAACCCGGCACAGAGCCAGCCAAACCGAACCGGACGAAACTCACTTGCAAACCGGTCGACGGCAGACGATCCCAGGAAGTCCAGAGGTGAAACTCCAGGTCGTCTTTCCCCAATCGTTGCGCCGACACAGTTGCGTCCAGAGGAAGGAGAATCTCCAGAACAAAAATTTGCTCGCCTGATTCGTAATTGCTGATCGCCAGCGTCCAATTCCCAGCCTATGTAAGGTATTTAAAATTCTTCGATTTGAGGTTCCCTTGCATTGTAGAACATCTTGCAGATTCACAGCACCTTATTATCGAGTGTAGTCGTGATGACATTCCCATTTTTGAAGTCCTCAGCGGTGTAGTTTTTGAAGTTGTCCGTGTCTGGGGCTTTGAATGTGAGGATTTGGCCCTCGTGCGAGTTTAGGTAGATTCGGGCCAGGATTTTCGGTGAATTCAGGTCTTTCGGGACCGTAAAGTCAAAACGCTGGGGAGGCGCATTATCGCCATTTAAAAGGAACGTCTGTTCGCTGACCTGCCGACACGAATGACGCCTGAGTTTACCTCATCTGGAATCTCCTGGGACGAGAAAAATACGAAAAATAAAAAAAATTATGCATCACCTTCCAGGAGAGAAGGGAGGGAAAGACGATCCTCAGGGCGTCAACGAAGTGGACGACATTCTGGGATGGGCCTTCACCGAGGGAGACGTCCTGATACGTCCCTCCAGAATCCAGCGCGAGCTGTTCGAACTCCCCTCCTTCGACCTTCTCCCCGACGTGAATGAAGTGGTACCTGAGGTGAGCATTCTCCAGGCTGTCGCCTGGGTCTGGATTCGCTTTGTTTGTTAGGATCAGTAGTTCGCTATAATCCAGGAGTTCGGGAGGCAGGATCTGGAATTGCGACAGATGGTCCTTCAAGTACGCAAATGTCATCGTTCGTGCTTTAAAACGCAGAGGGTCATACAATGTGCGGTACAGATATGGAAAATAAGATTCCAAGAGAGAGTTTTAACTCTTATGGAACTACCTAAACTTTCTTCACTTTAGTCTAATTTTAATCAACTTCGTCTGAAAATTCCTGCTATATCGACCACGTTAGTAATAATATATAATAGCGTTAGTTATTAATTATGCCCATCTTGTTTCCTTTTACGTAGACTTTCCACTGGTTCTTCAGGGCTTCTTGGGAAGAGAGGGTGGGGGGAGGCTTTCAATTCTACTTAATGCAGCGGTTCCCAAACGTTCCTTATACGCACACACTATTGACTGGCCCCATGAGAGCAAAATATGAAAAATATGGCAAGTGATATGAATTCTTTAGTGTACAGTTTAATGGAAAGAGTTTGTCAGTCGCTGATTTGCCCTCACGTTCATGGCCTTCTCCTCGGCGCATTGGAAGCAAACTTCGCCAAACGAATAGCCCTGCGACGGTATGTATCGTTCATCATTCAAGTTGATGTCGGAAACGTCCTGGAGCTGAGGGTTGTTATCGTCCGGGGCGTCGGATGGGGCCAGTAGTACGACGGAGGTCCTCAGTTCGACTTGATATCGTTTCATCAGGTCCAGGATATTGTAGAGGGCGGCCCTCAGTGCGAAGTACGTGTCCTGTGCCCGAAAAGCAGAGTGTTAGGCGGCTGGAGGTAGAACTCGCTTACGTTTTTCAATTCGCTCGAAGCCAAACGGGATGAGGAAAACCTTTACGATCCCGTATCTCTGGAGGACGAAGATCAGATGTCGAGGTGATTCTCTTGCCCATTTGATGTCGGGCTGGATCGGTTGGTTGCTAGGAAAGCTTGGGAAAACGTAAAGCCAAAAAACGCGTTAGATGGGGGGAACGGTACTTTGGTTCGTGGAAAAGGGCAGCAAACGCTCACTTCGTGTCGTTGTGGCTCATGACGACGTCGCGGGCGGATCTGTATCCGCATAAGACGTTCTGCTTCGTGGGAGCGATCCCGTCGTTGTGAGTGCACAGCCCTTTCACCTGCGTCCCAAGAATTCAAGCAAGTGAAACTGCGACACGACTTGTTGGGTATTTACGATGGGTGCCCAAAAAGTTTCCGCAAACTTCAAAATGAAATTAATACCGGCTGGATTAGAATAAAAATTGGTACACATACGCAACAATACCTGGTCTAGTCCTCGACATAGTCCTCATTCCAGGGTAGATCTCTAAAGAGCCTAAGGAATCATGTAATGTGAAAACCATATATTAATGGCTTTACCTTTCTTCACTTCCCCCCCCCCNAGCATTCTCCAGGCTGTCGCCTGGGTCTGGATTCGCTTTGTTTGTTAGGATCAGTAGTTCGCTATAATCCAGGAGTTCGGGAGGCAGGATCTGGAATTGCGACAGATGGTCCTTCAAGTACGCAAATGTCATCGTTCGTGCTTTAAAACGCAGAGGGTCATACAATGTGCGGTACAGATATGGAAAATAAGATTCCAAGAGAGTCAAAATTGAGAATACCTTGATGGATTTGAAAGAAGTGAAATCAGATTAAAATTAGTTGAAGCAGACTTTTAAGGACGATATAGCTGGTGCAATCATTATTATATATTATCGCAATCAATAATTAATATTGTAAATTCTTTCATAAATGTTTCGACCTTAATTTAATGAAAGCAAAATTGATTTTATTAGCTCTCTTCTTGCATTATGATTCGAATCGGCATCGAAACAAAATACGAGTTTTTCCCAATTTTGAAAGCGCATTTAGGTCAACGATGCAAAAAAATAAAAACTTGTTTCTCACAAGGCGCCCCCCCCCCCGAAATGTTTCACTCGTTACGCCACTGAAGGGATTCCTTGTGTTTTGACTGATTTCAAAGGAGAAGGTATCCTCTCGGATGCGTCCAACTTTCTTGGCTCACGAAGTAGAAGAGAAAGAGATAACAACAGAGCAATTCCATAACAGAGCAATTTGTTTAACATCCTTTTTTAGTGGGCCTCCTTTCCTGAAAGGAGACCACTTATGGTCCTGTCCTGTCGGTCCGTTTGTCAACTTCGGTTGTCCGACGATAACTAAAAAACTGGCCTGATCAATGCAAAAATTGGCAAACGGATAGATATGAATGAGATACAGGCTGAATTCGTTTTGTGACGAATTTTCACCGAAATTGGCATTTTTATTGCAAAATTTGGCCCCTCAGGTTCTGGACCACAATGCGCATGCGCGTACGACCCAGGCTTTGAGCGCGGTGCCGTGTCGGCAAGCAGAGCTGTCAGTTCCCTACCAACCTTCGTGGCGGATGGATCCATCCACGCACAGCTCTGCATCTTCCCATCACCGTCATGGGCGCCGTTTGGCTATGTTTACCAAATATGAATGAGAAATGAGGTTTTTGATGGTCGAAGACTGGAAAGAGATGGTATTTTGTTCAGTTAGGTGACAAAATGCGGGTCTCCTAAAATGAAAGGAGATCCACTACCGGAATAGGTTTGCCCATCTTGTTTCCTTTTACGTAGACTTTCCACTGATTCTTCAGGGCTTCTTGGGAAGAGAGAGTGGGGGGAGGCTTTCAATTCTACTTAATGCAGCGGTTCCCAAACTTTCCATATACGCACACATTATTGACTGGCCCCATGAGAGCAAAATATGAAAAATAGGGCAAGTGATATGAATTCTTTACTGTACAGTTTAATGGAAAGAGTTTGTCATTCGCTGATTTGCCCTCACGTTCATGGCCTTCTCCTCGGCGCATTGGAAGCAAACTTCGCCTAACGAATGGCTCTGCGACGGTATGTATCGTTCATCATTCAAGTTGATGTCGGAAACGTCCTGGAGCTGAGGGTTGTTATCGTCCGGGGCGCCGGATGGGGCCAGTAGTACGACGGAGGTCCTCAGTTCGACTTGATATCGTTTCATCAGGTCCAGGATATTGTAGAGGGCGGCCCTCAGTGCGAAGTACGTGTCCTGTGCCCGAAAAGCAGAGTGTTAGGCGGCTGGAGGTAGAACTCGCTTACGTTTTTCAATTCGCTCGAAGCCAAACGGGATGAGGAAAACCTTTACGATCCCGTATCTCTGGAGGACGAAGATCAGATGTCGAGGTGATTCTCTTGCCCATTTGATGTCGGGCTGGATCGGTTGGTTGCTAGGAAAGCTTGGGAAAACGTAAAGCCAAAAAACGCGTTAGATGGGGGGAACGGTACTTTGGTTCGTGAAAAAGGGCAGCAAACGCTCACTTCGTGTCGTTGTGGCTCATGACGACGTCGCGGGCGGATCTGTATCCGCATAAGACGTTCTGCTTCGTGGGAGCGATCCCGTCGTTGTGAGTGCACAGCCCTTTCACCTGCGTCCCAAGAATTCAAGCAAGTGAAACTGCGACACGACTTGTTGGGTATTTACGATGGGTGCCCAAAAAGTTTCCGCAAACTTCAAAATGAAATTAATACCGGCTGGATTAGAATAAAAATTGGTACACATACGCAACAATACCTGGTCTAGTCCTCGACATAGTCCTCATTCCAGGGTAGATCTCTAAAGAGCCTAAGGAATCATGTAATGTGAAAACCATATATTAATGGCTTTACCTTTCTTCACTTCCCCCCCCCCTCCCCCTCAGAGTGGAGTACGAGGAGGTTGAAGATAGGTAATAGGCGCTACCAATGCCTATTATTATTCAACGTCATTTTTCATTTTAAATCGTTGTAAATTTTTCGCTTGAGGAAAAAGTTTCGTCTCCCATCGCAATGAAGTCGACGGGCGAGCGTTGTGTCTCTCACCGTTACCTGGCCGTCTTTTAAACTTTGTATCCAGTCGTACAAACTTCTTTGACTCGTTACTCCATCACCAAACGTTTTTTGCAGACGCTGGTGAACTTCAGCACCACTAGTGCCTTCAAAGTGCGAGAAGCGTAAAATGGAACACTGATGAAACAAACGACTCGTTGCACTCCCTCTTGACGCGTCGGCAGCTATCGGATGACTTGCGACCTACCACCAGCAACGTTGTTAGAGCATGCAGCCTGTGTCACACTATTCACTATGTTACTCTCGTTGGAATCCAACCAGTAGCAAATAAATAAATATAAGGGAAACTTTCTGGGCGCCCATTGTATCTTGGGCTTTCGCAGCTGGTAGACGGAAACGGATTACAGTTCCATGATCTCAAAAGCCATGCTCATTCCAAAAGCGTGTTCCGCGATAATCGAGAGAGGAGATCCGAACGCATTTCAACAGATCGAGTTTTTCACTGTAACTAGTTTCAAAAATGGTGTTTCATTCCGATGACGTAGAATCGCGATTAACACGAAACCGAATTTTATCAAATATCCTCCTGACTGACCTTCGGCAGGAAATCCATATAGAGAAGAGACTCAGAAGCACTGGAACTCAGAAGATCTGGAACGAAAACGCTTTTGGTCCCATCGGTACTCGTCGTACTGGAAGGAGAAAAGAGATGAGAGGAAGAAGACTTTGAGCGTCACTTGAGCGGATCCGCGACTCACGTGTTCCCGGGGATCGGGACATCGGAGCAGCCGGTGGGCTTCCCGAGGGGGTACGAGGGTCCGTCGGGCGAGCCGTAGAATGCGGGGTAGAGGGGGTCGTTGGGGTAGCCCAGTTCGTCGAACACGCCGTACCGGTACTTCAGCCACTCCCGGGCGAACGTCTTGCCTGCGCGGGAACGAATCTTGGAGGTAGCATCACAGGGGACGGTGACGGATCGATTGTAAGAAAACTTGAGTACCATCCCAGGTACAGATCTGCGATTTCGAGGGCCCCCATACCGCTAGAAAAACTTTATTCGTCGCATCCTAACCATCTAACCTTGAAATGAATAAATTCTATCTAACTTTCTTCTTAATCACAAACTCTACGAACTGAGTATAGATTAAACATTGAGAATGAACGCGAGTGTCTAAGCGCTGGCGACACTGAACATTGAATAGAGCTCCTTGTTATTTATTTACTTTTCAGGAGAACCTCCTTCATACTGCAGAGCGACACCAATATCCCTAACTTTTTTCTTGGAGTTTTATAGCTGTCATTGGTACGTCATAGTCCTATATGAAAAGGCCCGGACAACTAGACAATCTTCTCGATGGTTCGGAGACGGAGAGAGAGTATCAATTGTAGGATGCCAGATGCGGCATTTCACTCGTACGCGCAGCAACCCTGTCTACGCGGCACGAGCAGCCACTCTCTCCTATTGTCTACTATGGATCCGTCATCCGCGAGGGCTGGAAAGGAAATGGATGTTTTAGTCATAGACTGGCACCCCGACCCAGACGGAACGCTGCGCATGCGCATTGAGTTGGGTTGTCCGGTTGCTATTGATAGTGGACAGACGGAAAAAAAAAGTGACGGACCGATCACAATATCTGCCATTTCTCCATTGTACCTAGGGGAATGGCAGGTAACGAGAGGAATGAAATCCCAGGCAATCTTAGAGGAAAGCGTCGCCGCCTCAGCTGGCCTCGCAGCCTTGCTATATAATAGACCAGAAGTTGAAACTCGTCATGACCCGAGCTTTCGAGGCAGCATCGACCCTATGCTATCGACTCGATCGTCCTTCGATGAGGTACGATGCCTCGAGAAAACACTGGAGTGCCAGACTGAACGCACTCAACCCAGCCTCACCGTTGCATGATAAACCGAGTCCCTCCGCGGCTTTCATTCCACGCATTCTTCAGAGATAACTTAGTTGGACGAATTTCATGCTGTTTCGTTCTATTCTCTAACCAAAAAGAAACTATGCTGTGATTTATGTGAATTTTAACGGCCTCGCTTCGGTCACGAAAACACGACGACTGTGAAAGCATTCCGATCGACGACAAAAGAATTGCTTACACGTCGATAGAACACAGATTCAAGGAGAAAAGTTTGCTGCGAATGCAACCGTCGTCCGTTCTCGCCGAACGCGGAAGAACCCGGAAAGCAAACTCGAACCGCTCACCTCTGGGTCCATACGAACCGTCCGAGGAGGGCTGGAAGTACTCGGCGGTGAACTGGATGAACCTCCCCGGCGTCCCGCAGGGTCCGTACTGGAAGGTCCACGGGTCGTTCCCGTAGAGCGGATGGGCCTCGCCCACGATCCTCACGTCTGCGGACGCGAAACTCGACGGCAGCTCCATGTCCGTGGCGCAGTCCGTCCAGCTTCGGGGCACGACCACGTACACGGTCTTGAAGTGCAGGATCCCGTCCGTTGCGTTCTGAAGCGCCGTGCTCCCGTCTCGGATGGCCCGCTGCGAAAACGTCATCGAGAAAGTCTCCGAGAATCGGGGAGAGCGAGAAGCACCCGAGGATTCGGATCGAGGGGACAAAATTTCCATCACGTGAGTTATATTCTCAACCTATCGGCAACCGACGACGCCGATCTTTTCAGGAATGAGCCACGCTTGACAATGTACATCACACCTGCACTGTTAACCGGTTCCACCAGGGACTAAAAATCTAATGCCCATCCCCACAGTCCTTTTACCAAAGGATATATGTGGTTTGTCCAGCTCAAGAAAGGACTTTTCCATAGTCCACTAAGAGCAGTCTCATGAGTAAGTTATTCCCTCTTCGTCTCCCCTGCATGTCCCTCCCCCCTTCCAAGAAAAGAATAATTGAGAGCTAATTAGGGCTTTGAGAGCTAATTAAAAAATGGCTTCCCGCCCAGAGTTCATGCCGCTTGGTCCGTTCTGGGATCGGATATTATTTTACTATTTTTTCTTTTTTATTGCAGGAAAACCTCATTAATTCGAAATTCAGGGAACCAAACCAGTAACGACATGAATAGGTTCTAATTATCTGATTTACCTTTTTTTTACTTTATATTTTCTAATTTAACCCAGACACCCCCTTACTATACAGAAACGCTTCGTATGTTATGAAGGAAATTAATCCCACCTAAAAACTTGTCTCGTAATAGGCTATTACGTCGAAATAAAGCCTCTTTTACGTAATATTTAGGCCATTTATTTCGACGTAATTTGGATAGTTCTTTGTTCAAAAATCCACCCATAGTTTCCTAACACCATATATTGTTTTATATCAGTACTAAGAAAAACCCGGATTCGTTTCTCGTATTAACACTACACTGTTATTACTATCAACTCTCGATATACCGCCACTGTTGGTCTTCGCCGATTTCGGCGCTATTATCGAAAAGCGCGGCTTTAAAACGGAAAATTTCCGAAATGACTCAAATGTAAAATACAGGGTGGTCCAAATGTTTTTTTTTACATAGGGAAAATTAAACACTTTTTAAAGAAAGTGTAACTTTAACATAACGCATAACACCAGATGTATTAACGCGAGTTCACCATGAATGGGAGAGTCGCATCCGTATGTGTTTTCAAAGTAATGGCAACCATGTAGAGCATATTTTGTGAATAAATTTACATTTTGTTAAAAGTGTTAATTTTACCTCTATATGGAGACTTTTGGACCACCCTGTATAATAGAATTAGCACACACAAAAAATCCACATTTTGTTCTCCATTGGCAGCACGGGTGAATTAAACTACACAGCTTTGAAAAATGATTCGCAACGTTTTGCCGACTTTCGGCTGCATGTGCCTCCTTGTAGCGACACACTTCCACTTTTTCCCTCACACTTATAACCGTCCTTTCCCCCATTACTGGATAACGAACGCACTTGAACAATTCGTCTGGAGGAACTTTGAACTGAAAGAGGCTCCTTTAGGAGAGGCAGGATTAGGTCAGATTAAGAGACGCTCCCCTCTAATCCCTGGCGTCCGTGCCTAAGCTAAATCATCCCTCACAATCTCGTTATCAAACGATCAAAAGGCTGGGAGCATGTCTTTTTTTTCCCCACCACAGTAGTGCACGGTTCAATCATTGTAGCTGGTGCGACTGCTGCTTTGCTGCAACGATAAGCCTATGGGGAAGATTCCCTGAATACCGCCAACAGTTGGCGGTATATCGGGTCGCGCTATATCGAGGGTTCACTGTCCACGAAACACATTGACGTTGACAATAACACAGATGTTACTTGAGCGATGTTGTCACGTCGACAGGGAACCCAATTATGCATGAAAGAGGGATGTCTGGGAATTACATTCGATGTCTAAAATTCTGAATGACAAGGCAAACTTTGGAAGAGGGCGATCTTGCAACGGCTTGTGAATGCTTGGTTTTTGCATGTCATCCGTTGGTGGAAAGGAATATGTTGCCATGAGAGTTCAAGGGTCACGGGACCAGAAAACCGAATTTTAAATTTCGAACCATCCATATTATAAAGCACCTCTCGTACGGTGAACGACGACAATTTCTCAGCATCCAATCCTGCAAACCATTTGACACGGAATTAATGAGGTTTTCCGGCGATTGGTCCCCCAACCATAACGTATGGACGTAGGTCCCCATCGCGTGGCCCACCGACTGCACACGACCTTCGGAGCCCCGTGCAAGAGGGACTGAGGGAAGGAACCGTCCGACTCTGTCCGATGCACCCTTCCTCCTTCGGGTGCACCCCTGAGAATCCCTCCACACCCTCATTAGATTTGCATGTATCTGTCCACCGAAAGATCGCCATATCTTCGGATGTGTCTAATATACCAATATTATATGGATATATTCAACATAATATCCATGTAATATACCACATCGTTCGGGCGTTCATTCGCGAGGACTCTCTCACAAATTTTAAAAAGTTTTTTACTCACTCGCGCGATCCGATCGATCGACGGGGACACCGCTCGCGTGCGGTCGATGAGCGCGTCTCACCTCGATCTCGACCTTGAGATCGCACAGGCCGGGATCTAGGTCCGGATGAATGGCGACGACGACGCCGTCGAACCCGCCGTTCGCCACCGTCAGCCGGTCCCACCCGCTCGCGAGGGGGAGCAGGCACACCAGTGACAACGCTGCCACGAGGTCCACCGTCACGGGGCCCACCGTCACCGTCATCTTCGATTTCATCCTGGTGAGTCCATTTCCGCGAGGAAATCGAGCTGGAAATGCGCGACTTGGAATAGGGACGGAATGCAGAGGGAAACGAGAACGAACGACGATAACGACCTTTCTTTCTCCACTAAAAGGAGAGATAGGACGTTTCCCAGTCGCTGATAAGGAGCGCTGCAGGAAACATGAGTGTATCGCCCACATCCGAACGTATCTTTATGGCATGAGGGAAATCCTACGACGAGACGGGCTGCCGGCAAACGTACGGTTCCTTCCGGTGTAGACGCTGGGGGGGGGGGGGGGGGGGGGGGGGGCAGGGGGGACTGCTTTGACCGTCGACCTGAATTTCACGTACGGTTCCTTCCGGTGTAGACGCTGGGGGGGGGGGGAGTGAGGGGGGGGGCATGGGGAACTGCTTTGACCGTCGACCTGAATTTCGGCTCCATCGCTGAACCGTTTGTGGCCGTCTATTCCTATTCGAAGCGGTCGGTTCTCGTTTCAGACTTTAGCTCCTCTCGAAAACAGGGAGAAGGAATGAGAAATGAGATACTGACTCAGCGCTTCCTGGTGGATTTACAGTCGATTTATCCTGTTCCTCGTGCTCGGATCGCTCTTTATCTCGTGTCGGGTGACGAAAGAGTGCATATCCACATCAGGGGATGGGCAAATTGTTTTCTATCAACATTCCTCCGTCGCGGAATAGAACGGGAAGCAACGGATGAAAGATATAGGAATGTGGGTCGAAGGTTCGGAGGCTTAGACCGGCTCGCCAAGGGAGTCGGGCGACCCTTGAGATAGCGGCGGGCCGCTACGGTGCCAGGTTTCATTCGGTTTGCGAGTCGGTGGAACGTTTTCGCGGTGGGAACGTTCGGTTTGACGATGTCGGCATTTTTAGGGTTGTGATGACGCCTTGGGGTCGGAAGTGCGCCTAAAATTAATGGCTCCGGAAGAAAAGGAGAAGAAAATAGCCAAGCACATTTGTAAATATAAGGTTTGAAAGTGAAGAGGCTTTTCGATCCTGTCACCTGCTGAAATGTTCACGAAAAGATTTTTTTAATGGAAGTTCTTTAAAATTCAACTTCTAGATATTTGTCGAAACTAATGAGTCATAGAGGAACGAGTTTATTTTTTTGCGAAGAAACAAATCTTCTTTCAGTCCTTCAAATGTACCAATTGAACAGCGCCAGAGTGATTCTCAAAGCTTCGCGCCCAAAAACGCAATCCCATAGATTCAGTTGTTTTTCTTTTTTTGTCAACGGACTTTTCCAGCCGACCCTATAGCGTAACATTCGTATTCATTCGCCTGTCCACTTGGGAAGAAATCCCTAGACTCGAGATACGCTTCTCCCGCCGTTGGGAGCCCCCGCGAACTCGTCGGTCGCAGCCGACCAGAGTGCGTTCGCGACGTCGAAGCGGCGGCGTGAGGGAAAGGAGCATCCATCCCGAGGAGACGGCGTGGGCACGCGGGGTCGGTCGAGGGGGGGGGGGGCACCGGGGGGGGGCACCGTACCCCCCCCCTGTATCTGTATTCCACCGCTAGCAAAAAAAATGGAGTGAAATTCGGAGTGAAATCGATTTACTATCTCCGGCTCTCAAAGGCCCGTTTCAACCTTATCTCTTTCGGGGGATAAAATTTTTTTTTTTAACGAACAGAATGCTTCGCGAAGAATGAAGTGGCATGTGACTAAAACTTGCTGACTGCGATGAGTCACGAATTTCCGCTTAGATTTTCACTTTCGTAGCGGGGAGACTTTTTGAGATGCGAAATTCAGCTTCTCTGCACCCGTGAGCATACGAACAAAACTTAACTTTGGTTACTTGAGTAACCAAAGGTGATATGGGTAACTTTAGGTAACTAAAGGTTAGAACACCAATGATTTTCAAGCCATCTAATCAAAGTTACTTCAAACGTCACAGAGTGAAGGTTATCTAGAAGTCTTTGAAAAAGTTTTACTTGCTCCTTTTGTTTAGAAATTTCGAATGAAACCTAAAGGCTGTTCGAGTCACGCCGGATCGTTGAATGAATGTGGAAAGGACCTTTCACTTGAGATATTATTGCTCGTGGTCGTCCTGTGGAAATAAAGGTTTCATCTCTTTCGATATCGGGAAAAGTTCAATATCAGTTATCAGTTTCTTCCCTGTTCTGCATCTACGATGGAATTGGAGGATGGAAACTTCCATTACACGCGAGAATAAATCGGCTTTGGTAGCGGCTGTTGGCTTTCATCAACCCCGCAACTAAAATTCAAACTCTTTGTATTGCTCTCTGAGAAAATCAACAGGAACGGAATTGGGCTTGCTTCTTCCTCTCTCGACACAGAATCACTCCAGCAAATTTGAAGCTCTATCTTCCAGGGATTGTGGAGAACACTGAACTCGCTTTTGGAAGATGTCAATTTCAATCCGTTTCCTCCCCTTCCCTCCCTCCCCTCCCCTCCCCCCGGTAGCCACTCCTGGAGGTTGTCGAAGGAAAGAGACCAACCATAAGAAAGATATTGACTCGTAATGACGGAAAGTGGCCTTTTGGTTGTTCGTGATGTACCGTTTAACCCAGGGGTGTGCAACCTTTATCGGCAGTGGGCCGCATGTTAAATGTGTAACTCTCGACGCGGGCCACCAGAATGCTCTTTTGTCCTCAGGGCATACGATGGCATAAGGTCGCTCTGATTGGCCGATCGTCCTTACCTCCTCCCCGCCTATAGGAAATTCCAACGTCCAAGAATAGCCTTCGGCATTGAGAACATTCCTCCTCGGGACATGTGCATGTACAGTATAGTCTATCCATTCCAACTTTGCCACACTTTTAATCACGAGTCGTTAAATGCCATCCATCTTCCGTGATGGGAGAGGGTGATTTCCCTTTGACCCCTCCGCCAGACACTGGCGCGACGCTCCTGAGGGGAGGGGGGGCATCACATATATATGGGTTTAGAAATGTTGGTAAGATGCCTGACGAGTGCCAGGAACACCTAGGTCCTCCACTGATAGCCTCGAGCTCCTATCCGACATTTTGACAGGCTGATGACAGCAACAAATTTATGAGCTACCATAACGGCGTGGCAAAGCTGGACCGGATAGACTATAGCACCGCTGGCGTGAGGAAAAATTAGAAGTGAAAGGACTCAAGATAGATAGTGATATCGAAATGGGCGAAATCGCCTCTTGCTATCACGTGTCGAGGTCGAGCGTTCCTTAACTTTAGGGTAGGCCTAACCCTCTTAAAGCTATATATTTTTGTATTTTTTTAATATTATTATTTGACTATCCTAGTTGCTTACTGTCTAGTACCTAACGTCAACATTGCCCACCACCTTTTTGCCTGTCCATGAAATCATCTAGTTTCTTCTTAAAGATAGATAAAGGGGCAGCCACTACTTCGTCATCTTCAGAGAAGAGTAGAGAAACTTATCTGTTATCCCATTATGCATTACAGGGCCGTAAGGAGCAGGTCCGCGGGCCGCACATCCCTGATTTAGCCATAAAAAGTGAAACTAGACTAAGTTCATTTAAGCTAAGGTCCCGTCTCCCAGTGTTGCCGGATGTCGTGCCGAAATTATGCCAGATTCGAGACTACTTCAACCTTCGTATCGGCGTCTGGCCATTATGTTTTTAATGCATGATACATTTTTGTGGCGAGTTCATTGAGCTGAGAATGTAGCGGTGATTACCAGTGATTGATAGATGTAGTGGTATATGGAGATATGTTATCCGGACATCCCTGAACTAACAGGATGGCGCGCACCAAGGTTATGATGCTTCCTGGAGGCATTCCCTCCCCAGACCTATTCGAGGTGGTTCGAGGAACTCCAGATAGGCCTAAGGTTCCACGTCCCGCTGAAATGGTTCGTGGAAGTATGAACAGGCCTGCGATTGGCCTAACGTTACGGGTCCTCGACGAGATGTCTCGAAGACCACCGATACGGGTCAATTAGCACTATAAGCGTGTAAGTCGAGAATTGAATTTCTTTTGAAAGAAAAAAGGTAGGCATTGGTGTAACCTGAAGGAAGTCTGTCGATTAGGCCTAAGCCTAACGTTAGTCAGGGCCGTAGGGAAGGATGGATAGGTTCAAGAAAGGAAATGCTATTATAAATTGGTTGTCGTATTCATTCATTCCCCATTGAGTCACCTTGGAAGTTGAACCATTCTCCAAATAATCCCTACGCCAGAGTTTTCAGGAGGCTCTTTTGACTCTGTTACCTCTTTCGACCAGTTTCTTGAAGAATTTCGGCGTCTTCCCTTTCGTGTGGAAAGATGGAGCATCCTGTGGAAAATAACAGGGACTAATTCCAGCTGTATCGGGTATCGACTCTGAATTGCGGCAGCTTTGGCGCCATCTGGCCCCGATTGTGCGAACCACTTCCGCGCTCGTAACGTTTCACGTAAGCATAGGCTTTATTACTAAGGCCTCCAATTCTATGAAAGTAACTTTCTCGTACCTCTTAGACACATGGGTCCAGAAGACGATAAAGCAAGGGTGTGCAACCTTCGTCGGCAGTGGGCCGCCTGGAAATGTGTGACTCCTGACGCGGGCCACAGAATCCAAAGGAAAAGGCTCCCCTCTTTTGTCCTCAGAGCATACGATGGCATAAGGTCGCTCTGATCGGCCGATCGTCCTTACCTCCTCCCCACCCCGAGGAAATTCCAACGTCCAAAAATAGCCTTCGGCATTATGAACCTTCTTCCTCGGGACATATGTAAGTAGTACCGCCGGCGTGAGGGAAAATTAGAAGTGATAGTAACAAGAAACAGACAGAATCCTAAGGGATGACCAAGGTTGTGATGGGCCTTCGGCCGCAAAGAAACTTATCTGTTATCCCATCATGCATTACTGGGCCGCAAGAAGCAGGTCCACGGGCCACATGCGGCCCGCGGGTTGCACATCCCTCACATGAAAGTGAGGAGGAAGAGTTTCTACACTAAGAGTGTAGAAACGGGTGAATCTGTTTTTATTTTTTTAACGCACGCTTTTATTAGGAAAGGCTCTCCAACAGTTTTGTGGTTTGCTATCATTCGATAACATGCATTTCGTAATATTGATTCGCTTGCGATAGACTTTGTTTCTCACGATTCACGTTTCGGTGCGGAATTCCTGCTTTTTGATCGCTTTCCGATCCGGATATTTT